TGTTCGATTGACACGAGCGACTCTTGCTTAACCCCCAACAACAACACGGCGAGAGAGAGAGAACAAGTTTGGAGACAACCGTCAGCGTGTATTCTTTTGATTAAAGTTGGATACACAAATGTTTAGAATAAATCACGCATACGAGAAAGACTCAATGACGCACCGATCAGCTTGCGTCCTTGACATTTCGATTGATCGGATAAATACAGGCTGATTCATTCTGGTGTCATCCAATCCGGACTCCACCTGCCTAGAGCGTCGCGAGCGTGCGAGTGGTCTGACCCGGATGCGTACGCAATCTGACGAGTTGTTTAAGTTCCGTCCTAACATTCACTTTCATCTTCTTGGACCAGGTTGAATGTTGTCTTGCAGCTAGTGATACGTGGCAAATATGGTAGCAATGCTAGGTAGGTTTTGTACTAACCGCTCTAGACACTTTATTAACCACATTTACATTCTCGCATCCTCATTCCTAGGATCTGGTATTCTTGGGTACTGCTTCTGGCTATCCTTCTCCGCACAGAGGTGCATCGGGTCTGATTCTCCGTGATTTGCAAAATGGCGATCACTGGTTGTTTGATTGTGGCGAGGGAACACAAATTCAGGCTCAAAAATGTTCAAATGTTCGTTTAGGGCGCATCTGCAACATATTCATTTCCCATTTACATGGGGATCATATGTATGGATTGCCTGGTTTGTTATGCACAATCGATCAGAAAGGAGCTGCTGGAGACTTGGAGCTTCCCGTACAAGCATGTTCCGATCGTCATGCCTCCGTCAATATCTACGGTCCTAAAGGATTGCGCAAGTATCTTCGTCTCTCTCTTGCTCTATCTCGGTAAGGTTTATAGAACACCGTTTTTATTAATCTAATTTTAATAGATAACTAACAGGATTATTCAAAGACCGCAGTACAGCTTCTTCATTTTTCATCCAAATATTTTTATCTCAGTTTCTGGTCCGGTAGAACGTTTATATCTAGAAACTGTTAAAATTGTTTTATTGATTCAGGAGTTGAAAATTTTGTTCGCTCATTTAACTCGTTCGTATTATCGCATTGCTTTTTAATCTCGCCTGTTCACCTAACTGGGCATCGGTATTGGCCAACATGTCTTCACGACCTATCTTCAGTGCTCAGTATGTGATTTGTTTTATTATTATTTCACTCCAGAGATTGAAGCACTTTCACCGGCTCCATGTGGTATCGATGTGTGATGGGCTCCTTGAACGTTTGACTCTGTACTAAGTGCGTATGATACGGTCAACTGCATACCGGCTTTGCGGGTCGGCCTTCGGCTAACCGAAGGCTCCGATTGTGAATTCTCCACGAAACTTCACCTGCCTGAACAACGCTTCAGTATTGCGCCCACAAGCAAATGATGAAACTTTTTTCTCTTTTTTTATGCAGATTACTGTACTGTGATTTGTTTGGCTCAAAAATATATGTATATAATTGGTAGTATATGAACGACTGGACAAAATTTCCTACAAGCACACGACTGCGAAACGAAAACATTATACGGAGTAGAATTTTCAGCTGCGGTTCACTTACATTCATATCCGGCAGAACTGTCATATGGCAATGGGTGACCACAAATCATTAGCCCGTCTACACACAGTCCTGGATCGTTTTTATGTGTTTATGGTAAGGAAAGCCGGTCGGTCGCTTTGTGTTGACCTTTTGATGCTCGTGAAAAACAAGTCACAGTTGTCTGTCGTTTCGAGATCGACTTGAAGGACGGTGACAAAGTGCGTTTGGTTTGACTCAATCTGTCAGGTTTGAGTTTTCGAGGAAAATCCAAAGATTTCAATACCATGCCTAACCTATTGAGGCCTTATGTGCTTCGCCACTCCAAGTCTCAGGGTTTGGGTTACCAGTTTCCATGACGGAGTAGCAGGTCTTCGTGACTATGGGGTTCGCCCCCGTTTGCTGTTCCCCGCATAAATGTGAGTAATAAAAAATCTTACTTCTGACAAATTGAAAAGCAAATCGCTTCAACTGCGAAAAATGCGAAGAGCGTTTCTCTTTGAAATTAGACCGACGAGTAGTGAAACAGATGGTTTAATGAATCTGCTTACAACGGAGGAGTTGAGAAATATTGTGAAATGGCTTGTGTCTGCAAACCTCCATCTCGGTTCAGAGAAAAACAGATGTGACCGCCTACTGCCTACATGGTGGATGAACACTAAATCACTGAACTAGTGGCACAGTGTCATATGTGTTATGATAGAAATCCTCCTCGAGGCAACTGTTTCTCACATTGTTTCATGAGTACCACAGCATAAATGTTGTCTATACTAAAGTTCGCCAGCCGTCTTACGCATTCTACCTGAAAAATCTAGCTGTTCCCTTTGATGCACTCTTTCTAACATAGTAAATTTATACATATGGGTAGAACATCTGAAAGAATCATCCATAGTCAGCTATCCTTAAGTAACGAATCAGCATGACGTGAGTTGATTGACCTTTGAGGGAAAAACGAACAAGTTGGAATTAAATCCAGTATTTTATTAAAAATGAAACATCGATTATCATTTAGTCGCTGCACACTCATTAGGGGCTATAGCAAGTGCTCAATGCACAATCTTTCGCTCTCGACAAATTTGTCGATTCACTTGATCAGATTCATGTGAACCCTCTTGGTTCCTTCAAGAGGGATTTTTTGTGTTTCAGTGGTGGTATTTTCCTTCATTTTGTTTAAGGAATGTGACTGAGTAGTGTAAACAACAGACTTCAGTCGGTTCCATAAGAAAAAATCTAGTGGGGTGAAATCTGGAGATATTGGCTACCAGAAAGTAAACCCTCTATCTTTGCTCTGTCTAATGATTGACCATACCGTGTGACCAGCGTTGAAGCAATTGTAGGTAAGGTAGTTGTGGCATTAAAAAAATATGAATCTGGCAACGTCATGTCCTGCACCCTAATCCAAACAGGAATTTTGTGATTGTATATTTTGAATGTTTCCATCGTAGCACGTGGGTTCTTTTATGTTCAGTGAATTTAATTTATTTTGTTAGTCCCTCCATGAAGATCCTCAGTCAGCGATGACTGTGTTGACTAGGTGCGCTCAAACCAATCTGCGAATTCTATACATTTCGACTAATCCGATTCATTGCTACCCCATGGACACATTTGTGTGGGTGGAAGGAGAGACAACACACGTATGTATGGTTGAATAACTATGCGAGAGATGCCGAGCTAATTTAATAATGGAGAGCTAAAGGATTGAAGACATGTATTTTCACATTGTTTCTCAACTCCTTCGTTGTCTCTGATTTCTTCCTGGGTTCATTTATTGCCTCAATCGAGCCGGTTTGAAGAAAACGCTCTTTGCATTGTTTTTCAGTTGAAGCGGCCAATTTTCTCTTTGGTGCATTGAGATGTTTTTTTATTCCTTACATTTTTTTCCGAAAACTCCTGACAGGTTGAGCCAAACTAAATGCGCTTTTCCACCGTTTATTAAGCCCATCTCCCTACGACTGATAAATGTGACTTGTTTTTCGCAACCAGCAAATGGTCAAAACAAGACGGCTGGTTTCCCCTACCATAAACACAAACGATTCAGGAGGGTGTGTGACCAGTGATTTCTAAGTGTGATGAACGGCAGGCGGGCGAACCTCATAGTCACGAGGACTTGCTGTTCAGTAGTGGAAACCGGCAACTCAAACCCCTCGGACTTGGGGTGGCGAACCACATAAGGCCCCGATAGGTTAGGCGTGGTATTGAACCGGACGACAGCAGGGCTGCTGCCACCAAAGTTGGGTGACGGTGGCGGGGCTCGAACCTCGGACCATAGGGTTCAAAGCACGCCGGTGACAGCGACTAAACCACTGCACCACCACAGTTTTATCGGATATGAAAACAAGTGAACCGTAGCTGAAAATTATACTCAGCGGATTGTTTTCGTCTCAGTGAGTCGCCTGGTATATCGTTCTGCTTTAGGTTCGAAACCTCAAATCTGTCCATGAAAACATTCATCTGTAGAGGGTTTGAGATGCTCGATGCGTACGTTGTTTAGCCTAAATGGAATGGCGTGAGAGCTAAGGTGTCGTGTTTGGAAGTTCATCGAAGGAAAACTCTCTACCATCTCCACTTCGTAGAAATTGGCTTCACTATTTGGGACAAGTTTTGTGCACGTCTAACGCTCACCTAGCTCATCGCGACTTATTAGTTGTAGTCGCTTCAGGCTGGAGAAAGTAACTAGTCAGTAGGTGTCTCTCATCTTCCAGGCTTGGGTCCAAAGGACTTCGTAACTGGTTGACGGGAGACACTGAAGGCTATGGCAGTAGTAGTGGCATTCTTATCAGGTCAAAATGCTTAAGGTGTGTGTGTGCACTCTGTGTTTTGTCCAGAATAGTTCCTTTTATTTCCGCTTCTTTCAAAATAGATTCTATTTCTGTGCACCATGTACGTTCTCATTTACATTGTGTGCATTATTAGTCGAACTCCGCTGTACGATGATGATGGTGATGACAAAACCTGTCTTTCGTCTATATCCCATTTGAAGTCACCTTGAATGTTCGGAAAATTGAAGAATTCATTTTGTGACAATTATTCAAGAGAACGTTATCTGTAACATTCTTATCAGTAAACATTTGACCTCTGTTTGCCCTCATTATCTTGATGACCAAATGTGGCATGTTTAAATCAATTAACCGTACCAATAGTGATCATTGTTTTTCAATACAAGGATGGATGTGAACGTTAGGGCTCAGAATGATAACGTGAAAAGAGGTGCATGGTTAGGCTCTTGCTTCACAAATGTGTTTTTTCTAATCTTATATTGGTCTGTATATAACGTTTCATGTTAATGCTGACCCACTTAAAAGTTATATATTCTCCTCCCCTGCCTCGTTATTCAGATCGCGACTGAATTATACCTTTGCCGTTCACGAACTAGTCATGCGGGACGAACATCGACCAGACGGGTGGGAAGAATGGGTCAGTTTAGAAGCCGACCCCTCCACAGATCCTCCCCTTCGCTGTGAAATACCTGGACGGGACATCGAGGCTCATTCGGACGGTACTGTCCCCTAATTGTGCATTAGACATTCTTATGTGAATTTTAAATATTAGATGAACTGAAACCCCACAAACGCGCGCGCACCGTCTCCGTTTCTAAACGGTCCGTTGCTCAGCGTTGTAAAACAAAGCACTTTGTTTTTATGCTCATTTCCCCCTTGACAATTGCAAGGTTTCTGGTATGATGTCTTGGCCAACAATCAGGATGGCACAGTGGTCCACGCGATGGCATTACGACACACAATACCATCTGTTGGTTGGCTAATTTTGCGACCGGAACAGCAAAGAACGCTCTGTGTGGATACCGCCAGATCACTTGGCGTTCCGGATGGTCCGTTGATGGGTCAGTTGAAACGAGTAAGTCCGCTTTTTGCATACAATTGTCGATTCTGACGTGGACCATCCTGATTTCACTATCTTTCTCTAACGTGATTCTTACTGTTGTAATTTCAAAAGGTAGCAGTGCCCTGCTAAGAAGTATTATTTTTTGGAACAACACAGGATAAGGGTAAACATGATTATACGAAACGAAATGCTAGTCTGTTTGCCTTTTCTGTGGTGACAATAACTAATCCCTATATCCACTCGGAGTTGCCGTGAAAATCCAACAACAATCGCTTCTTTGTGCGCGCACTAAAGACTTTACTCAGAAATGTGAGTAGTTCAGTTCAGTTCAGTTCAGTTCTTACAGCCACTAACCATACACTTTTGTGCGCCGGTTTTGGTTGCTGTCTTTTGGTTGCCCATTTGGATAAAACAGCAGAATAATGATTAGAATGTTAAGAGCAGATTCATTCGGAAGATAGCGCATTTACGTAGACTGAAGTTAACAGAATAATGAGTATATGCATGAGCGCCACTGTTTGCGACACCTAGCCATATCGCTGAGTGCCTCTAACCACTGTTGACCATGATCTCTGGGTCCCCAGCCAGGGAGTCTAACGGGACTTATGTGTGCCAGTCCTCTGGTCAGGGTTTTCATACCCTCATGCCAGGTCTTAGCTTGACCGCCCTGCATTTTTCTCCAACTGCTACTTGCCTCGCCAAGTATCGCTCGCGGTGGCAACCTATCTGGTGGCATGCGTAGCACATGTCCCAACCAGCGTAGTCTATGGAGGTCGACTANTGGACGACCGCGATTACCCAAAACTCTGCGTCTCACCTCAGCATTGCTCATCCGGCTACCCCACCAGACTCGTGCAATGATGCGTAGACAGCGGTGTTCGAACACCGACAGTCTATTTTTATCCTGTTTCCGTAATGGTCAAGTCTATGCGCCGTAAAACCGAACTGCTGCAGCATATACTCGGTTCTTCACAGACAGCCGGATGTCGCGGTGGCGCCACAAATGTCTCAAGTTGGTAAATGCCAACCGAACTTTCTGTATGCGCGCCGACACTTCATCTGTGATGCGTCCGCCGGGTGAGATATAGCTGCCTAGATAGCAAAACTTGTCTACTTTTTCTACAACTTCCCCGGTCAGGGTGAGGCTGGGGACTGAGCCAACCCAATCTTGGAGCAGCATTTTACACTTTGAAGGTGCAAAGTGCATACCGAACATGGCAACACTAGCACTCAACCTATCCAGAAAAGCTTGCAACTTACCTGAATCTTCACTTAGTAGCACAGTGTCGTCGACATACTCTAGATCAGACAGTCTGCCACTTGGGAGTAAATCGATGCCGCTATCCCCGCACGAGGATAGGGCTGTTTCAAGAATTAAATCTATGACAAAGTTAAATAGAAAAGGAGAGAGAGGGTAACCCTGTCGAACACCACTTTCCTTGGTGAACTGGGGTGAAAAAGTGCCGTAAGCTCGGACTCGGCTTCGGCTATTATTAAAGAGGGATTGTAATACTGAAATAAACTTCTCGGGCACACCCTTCAGAGAAAGGTAGCGCCAGAGTTTAGAGCGGTCGATTGAGTCGAAAGCCGCTTTCAGGTCGAGGAAGATGAAAATGGTGGGTCGTCGAAAAGAATGTGTGTTCTTGGATTTTGACGCAGAGGAAAGATGTGGTCGATACAACCTCGATCAGGTCTAAAACCAGCCTGGTTGTCACATGTACGCTCTTCACGAGCCGCAGACAATCGACGGAGTATGATCCCGGCGAGAAGTTTAGAGACAATGTTGATTAAACTAATTCCTCTGTGGTTTTCACAAGAGGACCTGTCGCCCTTCTTGTAAATCGGTATGATCACCGATTCACACCATTTAGTTGGAATCTGTTCCTTTCCCACACTGAACTCAGGAGTTTCGTTAACTCCAAAACCAATGCTAGACCTACATCCTTAAAATTCGATGGAGACAGCCCATCGGGGCCGGAAGCCTTATGTCTTTTGAGATAGCTTATTTCTCGGGTAACCTCTACTTCAGATGGAGGACTGGTGTCAACTGCCAGTATTTGCACAATTGAATCGGGTGTAGGGAGGTCTCGTGCTGACGAGAGCCAGCTGAGCTGAGCCTTAAAATGTTCTGCCCATCGATCTAGATGGCGTTGCTGAATATGGATCAGTGTGCCGTCAGACTCATTAATTACCTCATTTACGCCTGCTTTCCTTGGACCTGGACTCCTAATTAATCGGAAAGAATTGCGACTATTACTGATAGCCGCAGCCTTCTCCATCTCTCTACACTTTCCTGCCCACCACTTCTCGCCGTCATTCCTCAGACTCTTGATGAGCTGGCGTTTAAGGGATTTTCGCGCTTTGTCGTAGTTTGAATCCGAAGGAATGGCTTTGCGAACGTCCAGTAGGGCAACCGAAGTCGGGAGATCCATCGTTTTTAATTTGATCATGAGTCAGAATTTGCTGTTGTTCCGATTGACATTTTTATCGCTTCGTTGGTCGCCGTCTAGTGCTCACTGAGTCCTCTGGCTGATGGTTGTGCTGAGAGACGATTTGATAGTTCCGCTTCGAAGGCCGATTTGCAACCATTGCTGACATTGTATCTTGAGCATCCGTTTTCGGTGGCTTTTCTGCGTTTGTTTACTAGGCGTAGAGATAACCTCGCTCGTAGCAGAGCATGGTCCTTGTCCACGGTTGTTGACCAGTGGGAGCGGCAGTCTTCAAGTGATCCTCGCCAGATGTAGATGATGGCAATGTGCTCGATTTGAGTCCAGTGCTGTGAAGCGGTTGGCGGTCTCCATTTAAGACGGTGGCATTTTTTGTGCGAGAAGTTCGTGCTTGATAAAAACAGTCCATGGTCAGCACAAAGTTGAAGTAGGCGTTCTCTGTTGTCAGTCCTGTTGGCTGGGATTGCTAGTGAACCTCCAAGTAGCCTCTCTGTTTCGTTCAGGGATCCCACTTGAGCATTGAAGTCTGCAGCAACCATCACGATGTCCGTTGACCGAGCACTTCGGATAAAATGTATGAGCTTCACTAATCACTCTGTATTGCTCTGGCTTATGCTACCTATTAACTGTCGTACTGATTGCTCAATTATCTTATCCGTTCAGGGCCAAAATGTTGTGATCGACGGGAAACTTGTCGAACCCGATCAGGTGTTGCAACCACCACTCCGAGGACATCGTATCGCTATCATGGGAGACTCGTACGATTCTGAATCGCTTGACTGCTTGTTGCGGTCTTTAGCGAAGAACGGTACACTCTCCAGTACTCAACTGGACATCCTGGTGCACGAGACCACTTTTCAAAACTCAATGGCTGCCGAGGCTATGCAGAAGGGACACTCTACACCAGGTTATGTGGCCGAATTGGCTACGAAATTGGATGTACAGTTGCTGATTCTCACGCACTTCAGTCACCGATATGCACCAGTCGGACGAGTGGAAGGTGATACAGGTTGGTGAAAATCTCATTGCGGAATTTTTTCAAATATCTGTGTAATGAATACCCATACAATCAATCGATTGCGACTACAGACAAATGAGAGCCCGTAATTGGTGATTTATTCAACAAACAACTTGACAATGGCCTGAAAAAAAGAAACGTAAAGAATGGAAAACGGACCGCAAAGAGACAACAGTTACCAGCGATTTAATATGATAATCTGGATAATTGATACAAATACCTTCGTGAACAGTTAAATTCTTTACGCCGTCATGTTTTATAGTCAGACGCGATATTTGAGTTTTCTTGAAGATAACCCCATTTGTTCAATACCACACCTAACCTAACGGGGCCTTATGGTTCCAAGTCTTTTGGAGCTTAGATTACCGGTTTTCACCACTGAACAGCAGGTCTTCGTGGCTACGGGATCCGCTCCGTCTACTGTGCATCACACTAACATGTGCGATGAAAAATTGAAATCTTTTAACTCTACCATTTTCAAATTAATTTGATAACCTATCATCTTGCGTAACCGTCTTTTTGAACTGAGGAAGAAACGCTGTTCAGTGCGCCTCATTGGTCAGTTGATCACACGTTTTTTCTACCCCGGATTGACTAGCTGTCTTCCCACGCTCTTTCTGTGTTGAAATGAGGCAGACCTCAGTCTTGCATCTTGTCGACCTCGCTGACGGACGTCAATTCGGTGGGTCGGTGATGCCATGTGATTTACGCTAATCTGGATCCGACTCGATAAGCCCAAAGGGTGACGCACTGTTTCGTGGGCGCTACATCTAGGGCACAGTCGCTCATAGTAGCTCGGATATTGACGATAGCTTAGTCACCAAAGATTACTACGACCAGAAACGAATTCAATGCTTACAGTGTGCTCCAGGCGATGCATATTTTATTACGTGGATCATATGAATCATAGGTCATGCGCGATCAGCGTATCCGCTTGAAGATTGACGATAACTCAACCCCAAAACTTACGGTAAGAGGAGACCTATGCGGGTGTGGTATAAAATGCAGTTAATCTCCTGCTAATTCGAAAAAGTGGGTTCATTCCAGGAACTACCATTCGGATTTCATGCTAATTTGCTCATCTTCATTCAAAGACTAAACATGTTCCAGTAAATTTTTCCGAAACGAACATTTGAAAGACCAAATCACTTCCTGATCCACTAGTTGTAACATTGAAGAACGCTTTGGAGGCAGCCGTACTAATTTGACATTGGGTAACAATGCGGTTTTGTTATGGCAGCGGGCGTTTCAGTTTGAACAGTCAATAATCACGCACTTCCCTGCACCGGTTTTGGTTGCTGTCTTTTGGCTGCCCACGCGGGGTTTGAAATTTTCCCATGATCAACGTTGATAACTTTTCTCCAGTCCTGCTCCCACAAAGCAGTAACTGCACTTTTTCTTTAGATTTCTTGGATCCTTCAACTATCTTTCTTTTGAGACTAAATGTTCTTTCTGGGGGCTACTTGTAATACAAAGCTGATTCATCTGTGTTCAAGATATCACACTCAATGTATCCATAGACCAAATGTGGTAACCCCGCTCGAAACTCGTTCACAGTATCACGTGGTACCGCCAAACTTCCCCTATAGTCCTATAAAGGAATGCACATAACTAGTTGCTTGCCCCTTACTTTGTTGGATTGAATGCCTTATCTATCTGACCAAGAGCGTAAACAATTTTTGGAAGATTTGAAGTCACTATGATGCATTCTTTGTGCTAGCTTGATTGCCTTCTTACGAACGATACTCTCCACCATGGGGAAATTACCGTGATTTCCCCACAGCAATAAACCAAGCCCAGGTTGCCTTATTCACTGTCTTGAAATTTTCGTTGGTTTTCAGGTGGCATCTTTCCTCAGATGCTCTAGCATTCACAAATTATTCGACAGTGGCTCCACGGTATTTAGCACTGGAAACACTAAATGATTTGCCTAAGGAGCTCTAAATCGCACCTGGGTTATTCAGCGTTTCTAACGCATTCTGCTTCGCTCTGTTCAATAGGCGCTTGCGCATTTTGAAGTCAAGTGGCACTGTCTTCGATTGTTGGCATCAGTGTGTCTTCTTCGCAAAGATTATATAATGAGTGAACAGTGTCATGTTCACGTCACACTCTGTGAAATTCCATTGGCCGAGTGTGATAATACAGGTTTGTTGTTCAGTCGCCGTCCCGAAAATCAGTCAATGACCAAGTGAGTAGGTGTGAGGAACCGGGAACCATTGAAGGGGGCGAAAATGCATAGTCAAACCACGTTATTACGCGAGCGGTTCGTTTGGGTTTTCCAAAATGTGAGAAGATGTTGGAGAATGCGATTTCTCAGGATTGCGATAAGGCAGCACATTGACTGTATTTTTTTCCATTTCTGTTTACTTTTTGATCATATATGTCGCGTATATATCCAATCACAGAATTAAAAATGGAGTCGGAAAAAGATCATTCATTCAGATCCGTAGCCATTGAAATTAGATAGATAGATAGATAGATAGATAGATAGATAGATAGATAGATAGATAGATAG